GACCCTTGGGGGGCAAGACCCAGAGCCACTCGGTCTTGTCAGGGTTGAGTCTTAAGAAGAGACTGGCTGTCCACTCTCTTCTTAAAAACTTCCAGTGTTGGAGCATTCACCGCTTCTGGAGGCAGGTTGTTCCACTGGTTAATTGTTCTGTCAGGAACTTTCTCCTTAGTTCTAGGTTGCTTCTCTCTTTGATCAGTTTCCATCCATTATGGAATTATGAGGATAAAAAGATAATTTTTATCTAATGAAGTTATTTTATTACTAATTATTTTGGGGGATCTTGGGAGCTTTTGGGCTGCCTTGGGACCAGAATGATTTCTGTTATCCTCTTTAAAAGTTTAACGTTTGTGATGCCTTCGGTGCTAAAATGCTTCACTGAAACATTTTACTCTTCTTGTGGGAACTCTGTCTCTTTGAGCTGCTAAAGATGGCAAGCTATTGAGAGCCAAGATTCCAGGGACTATCATATGTTCGAGGACAACAGTGAAGTGATTAAGATAATGGACTGGCATTGGGTAAATTCAGCTTCTAGCCGATCTTCAGCCATGGGCACTCATTGGATGCCTTTAAATCAAAGTCATTCATTCTGAGTCCAACCTAATTCACAGTATTGCAGCCATGAGAAAAAAAGGACGAAAGTGCAATCTATCCTGCTTTGAAGTTCTCTTACAAAGGGTCAAATAGAAATAAAATAACATGTATCTATATATGATTAAATTAAGAGGCAATGGTGGTGAGTTAACTGGGAATGCAGCAAGGGAATTCTAGCCATCATATTAAAATGCTGAGAATAATATTCTCAGGAATAATATTAGGAATATAGTCTTTCAGGGCATTTATTGGAAAATCTCAAGCCATATTTATATTTTGCAAACTTCTGACATTTCTCTCAATTGTAGTTATCTATAATTGCAGATAGAGACCCAGTATGGTGTATTGGTTAAGGCATCAGGGTAAATACCAGGAAACCGTGAGTTCCAGTCCTGCCTCAGGCACAAAGCCAGTTGGGTGACTTTAGGCCGGTCAGTTTCTCGCAGCCCTAGGAAGGAGGTTATGGCAAACCACTTCAGAAAAACTACAGGGACTTACAGGAAACAGTGTTAAAAGCAGTTAGAAGAATCCTCCATGGAAGATTCTGTGAGAGAGATGAGTTACTTGATGAGAATCAACAGAGAATAAAAGTACTTTTGGAATCTGGGTAGCACTATAGCAGAAACAGAGGTGTGGTCAGTATGCATTTAAGTTTGCATGTAAAGGAGTATTGTATCTGAGGCTTGGAAGTTTGATTTGCAAAATGTTCATCTAATTTCAGCCCAGAAATCAGCTGTCATGTTATTAATACACTCCCAAAAAAATCACTACAGTGGTAATTATTATTCATGGCATTTTTTGGTTTTATACTGCTCTATTTCAATACACAGAAAATGTTATTTTAGTGCCACAATGAAAATCAATCTTCTCCAGTTTGGCTTTCTCCAAACAGTCAAGTTGACTGGAGATGCTGGGAATGACAGTTCAATTTACCCAGAGAATACTGTACTGGAAAAATCTAAATAGGACAGTAGAAAAGAACTCTGGCAGAGAATCCTCAGATCCTCGGAGTTGGGGGACACTGTATCGTGTCTGTCAAATGATCTGAGACTTTCCTGTCAAGTCTAATTCTGTACGCTATATATCCATCTAGTAACATTAACTGAAAGATATTGCTGCTATTGCACATACATGTACACACAAGATCTTATTTTGGGCTTCAAAAAAATATCCAACATATAAAGTATAATATGCAATTTGTATTTGAGATATTCTTTTACCTTTCTTTGGTTATGAGGTTTAAATAGCTTCTCAGAACAAACAACTGCTGAGTCCTGGGTGCCTCTCTGAGCTTGATTGTTTGTTTGCAGATATTTCATTACCCAATTAGGTAGAATCTTCAGTGTGAGTGAATGTGGGGTTTTCTCCCTACTTATGTGCGGTAGCCTGCCCTGTCTATTTCTAATCAAGAAATTACCAAGGATAAAATCCCTATCAAAGCTTGCTTGCTTGCATATATGTATAGATGATTCTGTTTTAATGGAAGGATTATTACTTTCAAATCTAAGTTAACCATAATAATCTAGGAAGGGTTGATTTAACAGGACAGGAGAAACAGCTGTTGCAGAAGTACTAATAAAATTACAAATTAGAAGAACAGATGAGATCAATGCAATCTTAACACTTGTTTTTGTGTCTGAAAAAAAAAAGTTTTTATTTAAAAAGATTATTTTTTTCCCCTCTCTGACTACGTACAGCCATTTCCTGTGACCTTTTCTTTTTATTTTGGATTTTAGAAACAATGGGTTTTTGTAAAAATGAGACTTGCAAAGTGTCATGTGGACTCCATGGCCACACAAATATTTGGTGCAGAGTGCTGCTTTCTATAAAAAGACAGGTTGTTCATTACATATAAATAAACTCATCGTGTTAAGAGATGGAATAAAAATAAATAATGAAAACATTGTTTTTATTTGTGCTCTGACTCTTCATTTCACTGTACTTGGAGCATATCAACCACAGCTCTGCTGTTCAACTTGACCCAACTACTGCAGCCATACACACCTGAAATATTCACTACTAGGGCTTGTCCTGCATATATTTATTCCCACACATTATTATCTTCCTCTTGCTTCCTATCTCAGACCCTTTTTTTTTTAAAAAAAAAGCTTGTTTGTACTTGTTTTCGGAGATTTTCTTCCCTTTTTGCTTTTTCAGCTCCTGTGCTGATAACATAATGCCAGTTCCATCTCCTCAGCTTCGCAGAGCTACGACAAGTTATACCAATTTTTTTAAATTTCAGATGTGCGTAGCTAATAAAAAACGCAATTTATAAGAATTCATAGTATTTATAGCATGGCACTTTGAAAAGCAAAATTTTAAGAAAACTCTTTGTAGGCATCAACCCTAGCAGCACTATATATAACAAGGGGGGGGGGAAGCAATTTTCCCATGGTAATTGGTTACTGTGTGTCTGCACTAATATCAACTATCCTTTCAAAAAGACAATGTTGCCATATTTCCTGGTCCTATTTATAAACTCATCTCTACACTGAGAATTAATCACCAAATAAGAAAAGCAGCAGAGAATAGCTTTACAGTATCTAGAAGAGACTTCATTCCAGAAATAACCACATTAGTGGTTCTCGACCTTTTCTTCACCACAGACTCCCTTTAAATACCTTTTGTGGCCACGGGCCATGGCCACGGACCACCAAGACTTAACTCAAGATTTAAATCATAACATTTCTTCAAGCCTTCACAGACCCCATGACTACACTGCGGCCTCCCCCAGGGATCTGCTGAGAATCATTGCATTACATTATAAAATATTGTATCATATTGTGTTGTATTCTTATCGTATTGTGTCATGTTTTATCACATTGTATCATATCTCAGTAGGGAGGTGCACAGTGCTTTGAATTTGAAGCTGAAAAAGTGATTTGGAAGAGGTGTGGGCATGGACGCCGAAGCTATTAGTGTTGCATCTTTTCTTGGGGTTAGAATATGCAGTAATTGTGTGAACCAAAGAAAGGCTGGCGAAATCTAGGCACTCTGAAGCAAACTGTCAGATTCAGGATTGCAGACATAGATAAAATGTGTAGTCAGGAATTTGCACTAGGCTTTGTTTTCTGCTTCTATCTTACAATAAGTCTAAGCTATGGCATGGTGGGGTTACTTTCCATTATACTTCATCTTCTATTCGAAGAATATAGTTTTTTCTTGTGATCACCCTTGTGATCTGTAATAATAATTTGAAACCTCTCAGGTCTCTTCAGGAAGGTTCTTCAACTGTAGCAATGGTCTATCTGGAACATTTCATTTACTGTTGTCTTCTTTCTTCACAACCTGCAAGCTGCTATAGTATGTCATTGGGGGCAACTCTGTAATTATGTTCTTCTATAATGAATGTATACAAATTACAATTTAAAAAATTACATTTTATTATTTTTCTAATGTTTTCTTTTGTTTTTAATCTCCTGTAAGATTGATTTTTCAAGGGGGGGGGAGATTGGGACAAGAAGGGCTGCATTCTTTAGTTGCCATACTTACATATTACACACCCAAGAAGTGGCAGTATAGAAATTATTTCAATTTTTGCATTTTGATTTTTAAACACCGAAAAGGCACAGAATATGGCATTTCTATCTTTTACACATACCAGAGTTAGGAGATAGGTGACAAATAAAGTGCTCTATGTAAGAAGGTGTTGGATAAAGGAACAAGCAAGTTGCTACCTAAAGCAGGAAGTAGATCCAAGGATATGAAGACTGAAACACTGGAGGTACCAAACTATCCTATGGCAGAGATGGTATGGTACCTCCAGTCCTTCATCCTTGGCTGCTGTCTTGGTATAGTTATATCGTATCATACAATACAATACAGTACAATAAAATAACCAGAGGATGTAATCCACATAACTTTTGTCTTCTAATCAAACCAGGGAATATGCATTATTAGGCTGCACTAATAATTAACCTTTTTATCACACTTGAAAATAAAAGCAAAAATATACATTTAACCATAGGAAAAAAAATGAAATAGGGATAATTTTGTTTTGCATGCTTCTGAACCATTTATGGTTGCTTTGCACTGAATAATTAGGGTCACTTTCCTCCAAGCTAGAGAGAAAAGCTGATGTTCTTATCATTTCCTCACTAGATGGTAATGACATATTCAGCATTAATGTAGCAAACAAAAATACGAAACCCATGGATTATTTTTATTATTATATCAAAATGGAATAATTTACAACCAAAAGATAATGTATGTCTATCCAATGCAGGTTTAAATAACTTTAGAGAAAGCTGATTACACTAATCTCCCTCAAGTCTGGCAATCTATAGATGAATTGGGACCTTTGCACTGGAATTTGGGGAGTTGTAATCTTTTGTACATTTGGATGGTGCCAGAATGTGGAAAGCAGGATTATACAAACAAGAATTATCAATCCCAATAATTCTACTCACCCTTTCAAGATCCTGTCTAAGGTGTGTGAAGAGCTTCAAGCGACGGTACAATACATCCTGCTCTTGCTGAGCCAAATTATCCACTTCGTCTGTCTTGGGCATCAGCAGTGGCTTGTTATAATTGGCTTTTCTCTTCATCTTCCAGTATTGATAGACAAAATCAACTAGCCACTCAGTCAAATCAAGGTTCTCAGCCACTTCAGAAGGTTTCACAAGATCATAGAAGTCCTCTTCCAACTGCTGGAGCTTCTGTTTTCTCAGTGTTACCTTTTCCATGTCTAGTTTACCTTGATCTGCCTCCATCCGTGCCTCATCTGGTGGCTTGGTAGCACCAGTGCTGTGCTCAAGACAAAACGACTTGAACTTTACCTCATCATTTTCTGCTAACAGTGTCCGCATGTCCAAATTGTGCTCAAAGGCACATGTTACATGGAAGGCTGTGATGCAGGAAGGCATGGAACACTAGAATGGGAAAGGAAAAAGAACAAATGCTCGAATAGCTGCTTGGAACATTGTACATCAAATATTGTCAACTAGTAACATTTTTTGGAAGAAGATCTCAATATAAGCCCAAGAGAGAATTATCAACAGAAACAGGAGGAGGAGGAGGGGGGAAAGGAATGGAAAGTATTGTATTCTCATTACCTTTCACATTGGCATTTTCTTGAGGTGATGAAGAAATACCCCACACACATTTGCACAAACCTTTTAAGCACTGAGAAATATCCTGTTTCTATGCTGGATTGTTGCTCTCATTATGTTTACATCACAAAACTATTTCTCTTGGGATCTATTTGATTTGCTGAGACGTAATTAAATTATTCAATATAGACAAACTTCTATCCTGTTAAACTGATCCACTGTATGTATTTCAGTATGATCAGATAAAGTGTTCCTATTCTCTGATAGCCTTCTGTGATAACACACAAGCCATGATATTATGAAATATAATGTAAGATTCATTTAGGAAAAGGAGGATAACCATGCCCTGTGGGATAAGATGGAGCAAATATACCGATACACTGCTCCAGCTTTTAAAATGTGCACTGTGCTGCTAAGGAGATGCATACTTACTTCCCACTAAGAAGCCAATTTTCCTAAGTATCTATAATTCATTTTCTATCATCTATCACAGAGGTCCCCAACTTTTTGGGTATCAGGGACCAATTCCGTGGAGAAAGGTTTTTCCACGGACTGGAGATTGAGTGGTTTTGTGTGCTGCTTGCATCCCATGGATGGGGCTTTGCTTGTTTGTGTGGACCAGTTGCTGGCACGCCACAGATCGGTATTGGCCACGGACCGGGGTTGGAGACCCCTGGTCTATCACAAATATAAAAAATACACACAAGAAAATACATTCTTCCAAAGAAACAAGTTTAGCAAATAACGATAAAGCAATTTTATTTCCCTCCTCACTGTCACCTAGCTCTCTGTATAGCAGATTTTCAGAGGCTACGCAATAGAGTTTGATTAATTTCATTCATAGAACTTCAGCTAATTATCCCATATACAGGACAAGATGTCAGTCAAGACACAATACATGTTAAGGCTAGGTGAAACAGGGTCACTTTATTGGGTTCATAACATAGCAAAAGCAAGGGGCTCCACCTGGATGCCTCCCATTAAAGAATCAAGGTGGAAACTTGGATTGGCTTCTTATGTAGTCTTTCCATGCAACCTACAAACTGATACTGGTTCGTTTTGTGCAGCTATACCGAAGGGACTGATACATCCAAGGCTCAACTGAAGTAACATCACAGGCCGAATATAAATGTATTTATTTATCTGTATGGAGCAACATGATTTACCCTTATTCAAAAGATTCAAAACGGGAAATGAAATAAACAAATCTCAGAAAAAATGTACTACTTATAACAGCTATGTGGCAGAATGTTTTGGGGGAAAGGCCTGAGAAAAAGGAAGAGTTGAAAACATCAGAAGAAAAAGCTTTAAATGTGTCACATAGATAAAGCTAAGACACAAACAATTTCAGCATTGAAAGTAAACTTTTGTTACAAGAAATGATGCAAGTAGGTGTCTGAGCTAAGTCATAGGGCACAAGAACATTAGTACATGAAAGTAATGTAATCTGGAGATGTTCTGAAATGTAAGGCATTGGTATGTGATATTAATGGCAGAGAAATGAAATTTAAAAGGCTTTCCTTCCCGTTTTCCCTACTGAATCATCCTTTTGTCATGGTTCTGATAGATAAAACCCATCAAAAGAACTTCAAGGCAAGAATTCTTCCTCAAAGAACATTTTATTCAGGAAACAAAGTATCGGCACTACATAGTTGAACCCCAAACTAGATTCCCTTCCCCCAGATACAAAGTAACAGAATGCAAGTCCCACCCCCACAAAGCAGTTATAAATCACATCCTCCAATCAGCCAGGAGCGGGGCTCTCTTCCCAGCTCCTCAGCCTGCCAAAACATTATCAATTTGTGTCCTTGAGTTTCCCACGGAGCTGTATTGTTATTATGGCTAGCTGAGCTCAAGCGTTCAGCCCATCCCCCTTCAACTTCTAATTTCTAAACAGAAGAAAAAGCATGTTAAAAGCAAAGTAAAAATGGCTGCATTTCCATCAGTTGTCAGAGCACGAACATCCAATGTTACAGCGTTGACATCTTTTTTATTGGGATTTTGATGAACAAAAGAACAATACAGAAGTGTATATTTCTTAAGTACTAATATACTTGGCAGCTGGGAAAATGGGTCTTCTGTCATACAGCTAGTCCTCAACATATGATTGCAATGCGGCTGGCAGTAAAGCTGGTCGGTCACATGACAATTTTGTGATCTTTTTTGTGGTGATCATTAAGCGAGTCATTAAGTGAAGCAATGGTTTGCTATGGGTAGGGCTTTGTCAAAACATAAAGGTTTTGGCAAAACTGTAGTAAAACACAACCACGTAACTGTGGGACACTACGGATGTCCATAAATGGAGCTACGTTGCCCAAAATTAAGTCATGTGATCACAGAGAGGGTCCAACTGTTGGAATTTGAAATCTGGGTCGTAAGGCCTCTTCGGTTTTAACTTTGAACAGTCACTAAGCGGCCAGTTGTAAATCAAGGATTACCTATAGTTATTTGCCACTATTCTTTTTAATCTTTACACTATAGTATCTTGATTTTTGCTTGGCAGACAGGGTATAATTTTATGAAAAAAGTGTATGAAAATTTTTTCTTTCAGGAACTTGTAATATATCTGGAAGCACTTTTACTCATTTCTTCTATCTGATATGAGAGATACACACTACATGCATACATGTCTTTAATTATTATTAATTTAAAAATGGAAAAAATGACTTCAATTTCTTCTGGGCCACTATCTTTAAAACTAAATGTATTAATGGTTATTGCACTGAGAAAAGAGAATTTAAAAAGCATATATATATTATTGAATCTTAAAGTATTTTTATGAAAGTCTTCTGCTAGATCCTCCTTCCCCAGGTGACAAAACCTATGAACATAACAGGTTTATACTGTAATAGTATTGCCTCTTCCAAGCCTCCCACTCTTCATCAACTGTTTTTTAATGGATCAGAGTGTCATGTAATTATTCAAGCCGTAACCCTTATGAAATCAGTCTATTCTAGCTGTTAATGCCAGTTAAATGGCAGTAAGCACGTTTTTGAAGGGTTTATTACTGTAGGCAGCACCTTGAATGGCTTACATAACCAGGATCTTATAATTACCAAAATGCTAGCTCTGGCTTTGAGTGATTACATTAACACCCAGGATACTGAGAAGTTAAGTATGAGAGCTGATATTTCAGGGGAAAGGAAGAGTAATTCTATGGATAGTTTAATATATCCATTCTTGTGGTTTCATTTTTGCTTCAATGATCCTCCAAGGCATTTTTCTGCTCTGCTGAACTCCAAAAATCACCCTAGGAGAATATAAGGCTGGTATGAAGGATTTTATTCCCCTTCTTCGTAAGTTTTTTCTATACAAAGTAGACCATTGCCTTTGCTTTATGTACTTGGAATCTATCAGGATTAAACAGGCCCTGAGTAACTGTCCTACTTAAATATTTCAAATTGCTTTTTAGAGCCAAAGTGTGAGGAATCCACAGCATGGGAAGCTCAGGTAAAGATTAAAAACAGTGATTAAAAAAAAATTCATAAAGCAAAGTTGGTTGGTTATAATGTGGTGGATTGTGGGCATACCTAATGTGACTCAGAGAATCAAATATATGTTGAAAAGATGCAGTACCATCATTTTTCTAATTTTTACTGCATTTTGAGGTTGCAGGCAATTGCCAACTATAAACAGCTCCAAGTTTTCTTAGCCATAATTTTATTGCACACGTAGCCAGACAGCTACCAATGGAGGCAATTGTGTAACATCCAGGGGCATTTTAAAATGTGCAATTGGAAAGATCCTTTGTCCTGCTATGTGCACAAGTAAAAGGCACAGTGGTGAGATGAAAGCTGAGCAAGAAACTTTTTGGCTCTACTAGTTTTCAAGTTACTGCAATAAATTAATCAGTCCCATCCCCCTCCTTGCCTTTGCTACTTGCGTCACAAACAGTATTAATATCATTCTTAAATTGTTTATGGCTTTTGTTGGAACAACAGCCTACACAATGCCCTTTTACACAGGAAAGATGATCCATGCTACCTTAGAGATAAAGTAAATAGAATGCCACCCATCCAGGGTTTCATTTGACAGATGGCAAGTGGTGCTTATCAGGGATTCTGCCCAAAATGCACAGAGGAAATAATTAGTAAGCTGGGCTAATGGGATCAACAACAAAGAATACCTGTTCAACCTTTGCTATTAAAGAATGCTATTGGTGCAATATTTTTGACCTAGACTAGTAGAATGAAACTGTACATCGGGGCAAGGGAGAAAATACTGAAAGATAAAATAAATTAAGTTACTTGATAATATGTGCACACACTAACAGGAAGAAGATAATCCACAGAGTTGGATAAGCCTGTGTTAAAATGTTCTTATCTGAATGCTATAGTCAAAGAGGTCAGCAATGTTTGGCTGATAACCTATATATGTTTGTTCATATATGCAATTCAAGATAACAAGTCCTATAGTACTGAAGCTGTTTTGGCTAATTTTATGCTTACAGTTATTTTGTTTTCTTAGTTTCAACAGTTTCATGTAATATGTTTAATCAATATTTAAATTGCAGCCAATGCAGAGCCCTCAGTTTCAATGTTTTCTATGGGTGTGCATGTGTGTGCATGCCTGTGTAAAAAGATTCCACTGAAAGATTCCATAACCAACCTAGTTGCAACTCTATGAACCACTTACAAGTAATTCCCAATAGACTGCTGTACAATCACCCAATGTACAAATAACAGAAACAGAACTTCTTAACTGTTTGGATTGGATGGCTAGAAACTGCTGGGGAAAGTTAGTCCCCTAAGATACCCAGGCCCTAAGCCACAAAGGTCTTTGTAGGCAATGGCCAGCACACTGAATTGCACTTAGAAATCTATAGGTAGCCTATACAATTCCCACAGCAGCAGTGTAACATCGAGACTCTCCACTGAGCATGCATGCTGCTTTCTGGAGTACTTGAAGTTTCCAGTTGGCCCCATGTACAATGTGTGACAGTAATTTAGGAATGATAAGGACATCAGTGACCTCTTTCACTACATTCTGTTCCACATAAGGCCATGATTGGTTCATCAGGAGTGTAGTTGGTGATGGTTTCCACCTGCTTTTTGAGCATGAGCCATGAGCCAAGGAGGACATCCTGCTTATTCTGTGTTAACACAACTCCATCAAGAGTCAGCTATGGCATAATCAGAGAATCAGACAGCTTCCAAATTAATAGCACTCCATTTCATTGGGATTGAATCAAAGGAAAAAGGAAAATTCAGGGAATTGCAAACCTGGTAAAGACTAATGCTGATTTATGTCCAGCTAAAGATCTCAAGAACACATAGTATCTTGGAAAAGAAAGAAAGTGCCTTTCATCTCTTTTCCCTACAATCTTTCTTAAGGGTTCATAAAATAAAGAAAAATAAAGTCTCCTCTTCTTTCTCTGCTTCTAATGGATATATCTACACATTTTCCCCAACAAGATTTATTACTGAACAATGCAGCATCTTCTGGTTTGAACATCATTTTATACACAAGGAGAGGGAAATACGGGAGGAGTAGGCAGGAAGCAAGTAATTTCCAGGCTATCCATCAATCTCACTCCAGACAGAACTGAGATTAACAGTAGATTAACAGTAGAATCTTATGTTCTAGGAACTCCAGCAAAGTGAGTCCCCCATGCAGAAATATCATCATAGCAGAGTATTATGTGATGTTAATGCAATTTTGGCCACTGGAAATGGATACCTCTGCCATCACATGAGATTATCAAGATCCTAATTTATCTCAGATCATATTCAAGTCCCTACAAGCCATATAACTATCTGGCAAATTATGAATTATTTACACATCACCTTTATTATTTTTAGAAATAACTCAAGATGGCAAAAATATCCAACACACCTTCTCCTCCTATGTCCCAAAGGTGCTTTTCAAAAGGTAACAGGACTTTGATTTCTTTTCCTTGGAAACATTTTCTAGCCAGAACTGAAGAAGCTTTTTGAGTGAGAAGTGAAATGTTTTCAAGGAAAAAAACACAAGAAAGTTCAGTTGCCTTTTGAAAAACATCATTGGGACAACCATTATTTGGATGATTGAGAATCTCCATAGACCAGGGGTGTCAAACTGCCGGCCCACGGGTCGGTTTCATCATACCGAAGCCGCGCCCACCCCATTGCTGGCAATGCAAAAAGAATCGCGATACGTTGCGACACGTCATGTGACAAGTTTGACACCCGTGCCATAGACTTTCTTCTCCCATGTTCCCCACAACATACCTGTGAAGTGGGTTGGGCGGAGAGAGGGTAACTGGCCCAGTCATCCAGCTAGCTTTCATGGCTAAGGTGGGACTTGAACTCACAGTGTCTTGGTTTCTAATCTGGTGCCATTAGGCAAAACTGGTTCATATGCAAGTTATGAGTTATTCCGAATACAAAGAACCAACGTGCATTTCCCCCAATTTCTTCTAAGAACTTTGAATACAGTGAAGATCTGCAGACAATTATGAATCATTACATGACGTTAGGTGACTCTAGCTGCCCTTCTTTAAGGTTGCTGGTAATTTATAGCTTTGCAAGATGTTTGACAGTTACATGTCATTGATGCCTTGGAGCAATGAAATGATGCTTCCTGTTTCACTTTCAGAGTTTTCATGCAGCGTATTATTTCCTTAATACTAATGGACAGTCACTGGGGATGCACAAATTAGTATCTTTTCATATTATAATTCTTAACTATCATTTACTTCAAAAGTACTTTGTCTATATATTGGTCAAATGCTAGCTGGAGTCTTTTTTCTGACTTTCAACCATAATATATTTGTGTTTTTATTAGCACAACCTCTCTTCAATTTTTAGTTAAATATAATTAGCCAGTCTCTTTTGGACAGTTGTTCTTTTAACCATTCATGTTGATTTCTTCAGAATTATATCCACTTTGTACTAAGTTCTATAGCTTTTACTAAGCTTCACAGATTTTGATAGCTCTCTCCAATAAGGTTTCGCTGAAAACAAAGATTATTTCAACTCAAACTCAGAGTTGCATTTTAAAATCCATCTGGATAAACAAATCCAGAAGAAGGTGCTGTATCACCACATTGTAACGGAATTTGCAATCCTAATGGAGTGGGAGGGTATGCAGATTGAATTTCATTTATTTCTAAATTCCAGATTAGTGCTTAGTCATTGCTTAAATGTTTAAACAAATGAATCATCCACATATTTCTTTTTCTTTGCAATAACATTCAATTTCTACAAGATTAGTACTGACCAAGAGTCTTACTGGCAACCTTAATGAAGACTGACAGACTGTGGGTTTCAACAGAAGAATAACACTTTGTTTTCCATTTCAGATAACTTTTCATGCAAATCCATTCCGTTTCAAAACTAAGATGTGAACCAGAACTAAGAGGATGAAATCTTGGAGAAAACATATCCCCCCACCCCTCTGCCTAGTGTAGCTGATTTGTTTCTTTGCCCTTCCGTTCTTTGAAAGCAGCTGCCTTTGTGACAAAATATCTCCATCTGGCAGGTTGAATAAGCAGATCCACCAAGAATCGTCAGAAACGGAACTGAATCAACATTGGGAAGATTTAAAGAAATGCATTCAAGTTTTCATTTCAGGAAAGAAACAATTTTAATTTTAATGAAACATTGTAAGAAAGCAAGGCCTGGTATCAAAGATGACATTTTCATGGCACTAGTGCAAACTGCAGAATCCTGCCAAAGAGTTGTTCTGTGGTTGCAGTCAAAAAACCCTGATTAATTAATTATCTCATTAGTTTGTCTGCCTGGTAGAAAAACAGCTATCAGTCAGGCTGAGACTTACAAACAATCTCTCTTACTCTCCTGTTAGTAGAGAGAGCTGCCTGCAGAGAGGCAGCAGACTGCATGAGGATGCCATAACAACTCTTCTAGCACTAATCAAAGAACAACATATCATGTCTGGGAAAAGGTGTTTCAGATCTAGGAACTCAATTAAATGGCCTTTTGCTGTATTCTAAGTTGAATGATTCTGTTGTTAACAAATCCAAGTGCACTGACAATAAAATGCTAAATAAAGGTAGCAGCACTGCTTAAATATTGCTGAAAAGCCAATTTAAACTGTTTGTCTATATTGTTGCCCAGTGAATCCAAACATGCACAATGTCTGTACAAAATTGTAAGGTGATGTCATCATTTTTTTTAAATAGGCAGAACACCAAAAAAAAAAAAAAAAAAAAAAAATCTGATTCTTGGATTTTCTTAGAATCAATTACTTACTTGAATACAGGTTCCAGTGCACTCCTTGCAAAGACTGCACGACAGAGCCCATCTGCTTGCTGGGATATGTGAAATTTTTGTAATCGGTTCCATTTTTTCAGGGCATCCAATGCTAACCTGAGAATAAGACAAAGTATACAAATAATCAGTTTCCATATATTGTCTCCAAGAATAATGAATCAATTCTCTCTGAAGATGAATATCATAAAATACGCCTTTGACACAAATCTCCGGGGATGCTCATACCCCCATACCATGAGGGCATTTATTTGGAATGTCTGAAGGGATAACCATAATAATGTTTCAAATGTTAGATTTTCTTAAATAATTTCATTCAATGGCATGAACAGTTTGTGGAAGATGTAGCAAGCATGATCTAATCCAAACAGATTTCATCCACACTCCGTTCGTTCTGTTTAGGCAGAAATCACTTAGCCTCGTACTTCGGGAATCCATAAGGCACAGCTAACATGAACCCATTTTGTTCCACTCCGGGTAGGTTTCAGGGCTCCCCCTCTCTTTGGGCAGAGTAAACACTTTGGCTGAACTCCCAGGGCACAGGTCCGACAGAGCCAGTTTCCAAGGGGAACTTTTAGGATTCCATAACAAGCCTAAAAAGAAATATAAGGACAAAGATTAGTTACTTATGTGATGAGTGCATATCAAGATTAATATACCTTATGATAAAGTACCATGATGCATTTTAGTTTACAAATATTAAGTGTATGGGATTCCCTGTTCCCACCTACCATTAATATAATGTAGTTTAAACAGTAATATTCATCCCCAAAAATCTGATTAGGCAATTTTCTGAATGAATGCATGAGAGTTGAAAGAGAATGAGAGGATGGGTAACACATTATTCTTGCCCCTAAATTTCCATGACTGCCTGACCCTATTGCCTTAATCTTGGACTTTTGATCCAGATTTTCTACTGCATAAGAAATATTTTTTATTTACCATCTTAATAGCAGTGAATTTTTGTTACTTTTTTTCCTATCAAATTCAGTACAAAATATTTTTCAAAGCTGTTTTCCATAGCCACAGCAGAGACCTATTTTGCTAAGTAAAGGTTATTCAATTTTCTGGCTAAGTTTATAGATCACACAAAACCATGAAATGGTTTGATTGATTTTGACTTCATCTTATAATGGCTTGTGCAACAAGTTGTTAAAACAGACTATGTCTTAGTGCAATATATGTACTGAATACTAAAGAAACATAAATGAGTAGCTAAAAAGATACCAGATTCAGCAATTTATGAATAAAAAAGGGGGAAAGACATTTAAAAAGAAGGAGAAATAGTGAATCTAGTCTTCTGATACTGCATTTCAGGTGCTACTGCATTTCCAACATAAGAATTCTTGGACATCATTTGCATGCCTGAATTTGACATATTTATTCCTTTAATATCACAAGCAGTAAACTAGCCACAATTAACAACAAACATATCATGTATCTGAGGGAACTGTCCTTACTACCGGATCACAGAGAGAACGGCTACTCACCTGATGCACACAGACATTGCATTTGTCACAGAAAACCATCTCATTGCCATCTTCTCCTTCTGGTGAACGGCACACATCACATACCACATCCTCATCGTACTCTATCCCTAGGCCTTCTTCTGTCTCAATGGCAATATTCATATTCTCAGAGCACAGAGTTTCCAGTTCCTCAAGTACTCTTTCCAAGGTGAATTCATCCATTTCTGGCTTTTCTTAAAGAGAAAAGGCAGCAATACTTTATTTACTTTCTGTGAAGAGTCTCAAATTCTGTTATGATAGATATTTGTTGACAGTTAGGAGTCAAGAGAAGAGAAATTTTTCTATTAGCATCTAATAAACTGAGCATCAACTGGTTTGCTTCTCTTCAATCCTAATTGAAATAAAGATATATATAACACAAATGAAGCAAGGAATCTCGGAAAGAAAATCAGTGAATAATAATCTGAAGCTTAACTGCTAGAGCTGAGGAGCACATATTCCTCACAGGCTCAACACTGTGGCTGAGCCAATATTAAGCATAGACTGGAAAGAAAAGTCAGAGAACATTATCTGGTTCTGATATATTCATGTTTTCCTGGTCTCATAACAACTATGGGAGCAGCATATTCTGGCCCACGGAGCCAAAATATGATTTCTACAGTGGTATTTAATAAACCCAATGGCTATAGTATGTACTGTACATGATGCGTACATGGTTTATAGTAGGGGTCTTCAAACCTGGCCCTTTTATGACTTGTAGACAACTCCCAGAATTCCTCAGCCAGAGTACCTAGCTGAGGAATTCTGGGAGTTGAAGTCCACAAGTCAAAAAAGGGCCAAGTTTGAAGACCCCTGGTTTATGGCTTGGCACAGTGGTGGCGAACCTATGGCACGCGTGCCAGAGGCGGCACTCAGAGCCCTCTCTGTGGGCACGTGTGCCGTGCCCCAGAGATGGCGAGGGACTGGCCCCTGCCGCCCTGGCCCCGCCCACCCAGTCTGCCATGACCACTGCGGCCACGCCCATCCGGCACTCCGTGATAAATAAGTGGGTTTTGGATTGCAATTTGGGCACTGGGTCTTTAAAAGATTTGCCATCACTAGTTTGGCAGATCGTGAAAATCAACCAATGGCCTTTCTTCTGCAAAATATGGTTAACAAACTATGGTTCAGTTTGACATTTGAGGATAATAAAATATGCCCACTAAAAGCAAGTACCAGAGATTCTTAAAGAAGTTTTCTCTTCTAAGTTAACTTAAATTGCAGCAGACTGGTCACATTTTGCTTGTGACCACATCTTGGGGAAAATATAGCAAACAGCAATATAATTTCATTGGAAAAGAATTTTACTAGTAAAATAACTTTTTTTCCCCTGTGAGTCAATTTCTGTCTAATCCCTGCAGTCTTTTTAGCAAGATTTCAGAAGTGATTTGTCCTTGCCTCCTTCCTAGGACTGAGAGAGAGTAAATGGTCCAAAGTCACCTGGCTGGTTTTGTGTTGAAGGATGAACTAGACTCATAGTCTCCCAGTTTCTAGCCTGATGTAAAATAACTATTAACTATTACATAAGTTATGTAATAACTTATGTAAATTTTGTAATTACTTATGTAAGTAACTATTATTTATGTGGCTATAGTTTGTATTAAAGAAACTGTTAGGAGTTATGATGGGAATATTATTACATATGGAAAAACAAGTTGCACTAAATCTTATTCATGCTTTCAAACACAATTGTCTACAGAAGTATATGGTCTCTCAGCCTGAAAGAATTTGCATATCTCTGCTTTATCATAGCATCACTCCTCAAGTGGAAGGTCTCAAGGGATATTCTGCGAAGGTTTATCCTTGTAAAATTCTTCAATAATACACTGTATCTTGTTTAGCACATCCTGAAATCTCAATTGATCAATCAAATGATGGATATGCAAAGGGAATCAAAATTAAATCACCAAAATTAAATCAAAATGGCATTTGGTACGAATCAAGCTTAGTTAATTACTTCATTATAAGCAAGATCTGCAGTAAAAGTGCTACACTCAATTTGCCAGCAAATTTGGAAAACTCAACAGTGGCCACAGGATTGGAAAAGGTTAGTTTACATTCCAATTCCAAAGAAAGGCAATGCCAAAGAATGTTCAAACTATCGCACCATTGCACTCATTTCACATGCTAGTAAAGTTATGCTTAAAATCCTACAAGCTAGACTCCAGCAGTATGTGGATCGAGAACTACCAGAAGTACAGGCAGGATTTCGAAGAGGCAGAGGAACTAGAGATCAAATTGCCAACATACGCTGGATCATGGAGAAAGCTAGGGAGTTCCAGAAAAACACCTACTTCTGCTTCATTGACTATGCAAAAGCCTTTGATTGTGTGGATCACAACAAATTGTGGCAAGTTCTTAAAGAGATGGGAGTACCAGACCATCTCATTTGTCTCTTGAGAAACTTATATGCGGTCAAGAAGCAACAGTGAGAACTGGACACGGAACCACTGATTGGTTCAAAATTGGAAAAGGAGTCTGGCAAGGCTGTATACTGTCGCCCTGCCTATTTAACTTATATGCAGAGCACATCATGAGAAAGGCAGGGCTAGATGAATCAAAAGTTGGAATTAAGATTGCCGGGAGAAATATCAACAACCTAAGATATGCAGATGATACCACTCTAATGGCAGAAAGTGAAGAGGAACTAAAGAGCCTCTTGATGCGGGTGAAGAAGGAGAGTGCAAAAGTTGGCTTGAAACTCAACATTAAGAAAACCAAAATCATGGCATCCGGCCCTCTCAATTCCTGGCAAATAGATGGGGAAGAAATGGAGGTAGTGACAGATTTTATTTTTCTGGGCTCCAAGATCACCTCAGATGGGGACTGCAGCCAAGAAATTAAAAGACGCTTGCTCCTGGGGAGGAAAGCTATGGCAAATCTAGACAGCATACTAAAAAGCAGAGACATCACCCTGCCAACAAAAGTGCGTATAGTCAGGCCATGGTTTTCCCAGTTGCAATGTATGGCTGTGAAAGTTGGACCATAAGAAAGGCTGAGCGCCAAAGAATTGAGGCTTTTGAACTATGGTGCTGGAGAAGACTTCTGTGAGTCCCTTGGACTGCAAGGCGTTCAAACCGGTCAGTCCTAGAAGAGATCAACCCCGACTGCTCTTTAGAAGGCCAGATCTTGAAGTTGAAACTCAAATACTTTGGCCACCTAATGAGAAGGAAGGACTCACTGAAGAAGAGCCTAATGCTGGGAAAGATTGAGGGCAATAGAAGAAGGAGACGACAGAGAATGAGATGGCTGGATGGAGTCACTGAAGCAGTAGGTGTGAACTTAAATGGACTCCAGAAGATGGTAGAGGACAGGAAGACCTGGAGGAATGTTGTCCATGGCGTTGCGATGGGTCGGACACGACTTCGCAATTAATAACAACAAATAAGCAAGATCATAAAGGTGATTTTCTTTTAGGGTTCACACTTTATATTATGTGTGTGGTATAAAGGAAAAGTGAGGTTTATCCATTATATCCATGATTAAATCAGTGGCTTAAAGTGTGGTCTTGAGCCAGCCAATCCAAAGCGTTTAAAAACCCAAGGATTATTTCTTTAGAGGCAGTATAACTGCAGCAAAAATCCCTTCCCTATTACAAAACACCTTTTCTATTTGGAATCCTGGAGAACTGCTAATATTTTGCTTCCTTAATCTTCCAAATATTTCTGGTTACTGATTTCTATTTAGAAAGTAATCTGGTGTGAGTATATATTAATTTTACATAATACTTTTTAAAGACAGTGGACACTGTCCCTAGGAACTTGGTGCTGACTTGATTATTAAGTACTTGTTCATTATCCATTGCCAGTTTGCTGCCCAAACCTATTGCCTCCTCCTCCCCTGTGCAAGAAACAGGGACCTCTCTGGATTTGTAGCATATGAGAAAGCATCCTGGCTATGATGAGATCCTACTTTCTGTCCATCAAATTACAAATTAGAGAGACAGCTTATGAGGAAAATTCCCCTCACTCTGCTCCCATTCACCTTCTGTTTTGGATACTCAGCTGCTCTGTCTTTATACATCTCATACAATCTTACAGGATGTAGATACTCAAATCAATCTTTGCCTGGGGGAGATAATTACAAAACATTTTATGGAAGAGGCTGAATACAAGCAAAAGGAAAGACAGAGCATTTTCCTCCACTGATTCTGGTGAGGGGAGAGCCAAAACTGCCACTTCAAACATTCTCTTTCAAGAATTCCTGAGGGGATGCACTGTCTCCAGGGATGTTGTTGGACTGCTAAAAAAAAAAAAAAAACCCCCCAGAGAATGCGTGAGTAGGAAGGTAAGTAATAAATAAATAATAAAACTCAACCAATTGGTATTAACCTTGAGTAGACTCCATGAAAGAATCTAAGGTTTTATTTGCCACTTAAAAAATCTGGCTTACAGACAAATATGTGGTGAAGGTGACAACAAGAAGCAGTAGCTACATTAACTTTTTTGATTAGAGCAGAGGTGTCAAACTGCAGACTCACGGGCTGGATGCGTCATGCCAAAACTGCACCCACCCCATTGCCGGCAATGGAGAAAAAGTTGCGATACGTTGGACATGCGATGTTGAGAGTTTGACACCCCTGGATTAGAGGAAGATCAGTAACTATATTTATCAGTGGCTGGAAACCCCTTATGGACTTTTTGCTGAAACATAGAGAAAAATGATCTTGCGATCTATGGATTTGAAGATTAGAAGAAATAACTTATGGAAAGAAGGAAATTATGGTGTAACCTTAGAGAGGGTAAAATATATCCTCTTAAAATATAATTGCATTTATAACTTCTGTCAAAAGATAAGAAACTGCTTCTTTATAATCTTTTCTTTTTTATTTCTTATTCATTCACGATTTTTCCTTATTTTCTCTGTTTCTTTTCTAATATTTGTTTTTATCTCATTAAAAAAATTCTTCAGTAAAAATTGTATTTAAAAAAGTCTGGCTTTCCAATTGGATTACAGGTTCTATGAAAGCGAAGACAATCTTTTAGCACTTCATATCCATGCTGAAAGACGAATTTGCATAAACAACAGAGGTTTATTGCTAATGGCTCATTCAAATATTTAGTAAACAAACAAAGATACAAAGACTTTTAACTGTGGTAATTTAGCTAACTTGATGGAATTGAGCTTGCATCATCATAGCTATTTGGTATTTTATTAAAGAGCAATAGATACATGGTATAAATAAACAATTAAA